AAAGGTTCTACTGTACACACGAACCAAAGTGTCCAGGCTAACAAGGTTCTACTGTAAAAAGGTTCTACTGTACACACGAACCAAAGTGTCCAGGCTAACAAGGATCTACTGTAAAAAGGTTCTACTGTACACACGAACCAAAGTGTCCAGGCTAACAAGGATCTACTGTAAAAAGGTTCTACTGTACACACGAACCAAAGTGTCCAGGCTAACAAGGATCTACTGTAAAAAGGTTCTACTGTACACACGAACCAAAGTGTCCAGGCTAACAAGGATCTACTGTAAAAAGGTTCTACTGTACACACGAACCAAAGTGTCCAGGCTAACAAGGATCTACTGTAAAAAGGTTCTACTGTACACACGAACCAAAGTGTCCAGGCTAACAAGGATCTACTGTAAAAAGGTTCTACTGTACACACGAACCAAAGTGTCCAGGCTAACAAGGATCTACTGTAAAAAGGTTCTACTGTACACACGAACCAAAGTGTCCAGGCTAACAAGGATCTACTGTAAAAAGGTTCTACTGTACACACGAACCAAAGTGTCCAGGCTAACAAGGATCTACTGTAAAAAGGTTCTACTGTACACACGAACCAAAGTGTCCAGGCTAACAAGGTTCTACTGTACATACAAACCACAGTGTCCAGACTAGCAAGGATCTACTGTAAAAAGGTTCTACTGTACACACAAACCACAGTGTCCAGACTAACAAGGTTCTACTGAACACACAAACCAAAGTGTCCAGGCTAACAAGGTTCACTGTACACACAAACCACAGTGTCCAGGCTAACAAGGTTCACTGTACACACAAACCACAGTGTTCAGGCTAACACGGTTCTACTGTACACACAAACCGCAGTGTCCAGGCTAACACGGTTCTACTTTATACATAAACCACAGTGTCCAGGCTAACCAGGTTCTACTGTACACACAAACCACAGTGTCCAGGCTAACCAGGTTCTATTGTACACACAAACCACAGTGTCCAGGCTAACCAGACAAACCACAGTGTCCATGCTAACAAGGTTCTACTGTACACATAAACCAAAGTGTCCAGGCTAACCAGGTTCTACTGTACACACAAACCTAAGTGTCCAGGCTAACACGATTCTACTGTACACACAAACCACAGTGTCCAGGCTAACACGGTTCTAATGTACACACAAACCACAGTGTCCAGACTAACAAGGTTCTAATGTACACACAAACCGAAGTGTCCAGGCTAACAAGGTTCTACTGTACACACAAACCAAAGTGTCCAGGCTAACAAGGTTCTAATGTACACACAAACCAAAGTGTCCAGACTAACAAGGACCTACTGTAAAATGGTTCTACTGTACACACAAACCAAAGTGTCCAGTTTAACAACGACCTACTGTAAAAAGGTTCTCCTGTACACACAAACCAAAGTGTCTAGGCTAACAAGGTTCTAATGTTCACACAAACCAAAGTGTCCAGACTTACAAGGTTTTACTGTACATACAAACCACAGAGTCCAGACTAACAAGGTTCTACCGTACACACGAACCAAAGTGTCCAGGCTAACAAGCTTCTACTGTACACACAAACCAAAGAGTCCAGTTTAACAAGGACCTACTGTAAAATGGTTGTACTGTACACACAAACCAAAGTGTCTAGGCTAACAAGGTTCTAATGTACACACAAACCAAAGTGTCTAGGCTAACAAGGTTCTAATGTACACCCAAACCAAAGTGTCCAGTTTAACAAGGTCCTACTGTAAAAAGGTTCTACTGTCCACACAAACCAAAGTGTCCAGGCTAACAAGGACCTACTGTAAAATGGTTATACTGTACACACAAACCAAAGTGTCCAGACTAACATGGTTCTACTGTACACACAAACTAAAGTGTCCAGTTTAACAAGGTCCTACTGTAAAAAGGTTCTACTGTCCACACAAACCAAAGTGTCCAGTCTAACAAGGACCTACTGTAAAAAGTTCTACTGTACACACAAACCGAAGTGTCCAGGCTAACAAGGTACTAATGTACACACAAACCAAAGTGTCCAGGCTAACAAGGTTCTACTGTACACACGAACCAAAGTGTCCAGACTAGCAAGGTTCTACTGTACATACAAACCACAGTGTCCAGACTTACAAGGTTCTACTGTACATACAAACCACAGTGTCCAGACTAACAAGGTTCTACTGTACACACGAACCAAAGTGTCCAGACTAGCAAGGTTCTACTGTATACACAAACTAAATTATCATAACTAAGAAGTAATGTTTTCGTTAATTTGAACAAAGAATCCAAATAACAAGGTTTCACTGACCATACAGAACAAAATGTCTTGAAAACCGAGGTTTCGACATTTGACACAACCAGAGTTTCCTGTCTACATGTACCAAAGTTCCATCGCACACAAAACCGAAACATTTATTGAAAAAAATAGTACATTTATTTTAATGCTTTATCTTACTTTCATGGTTTTGCTATTTTTATCCATAGGTCCAGTTGCCGGAGCGCTGGTCAACAAATTTGGATGTCGTAAAGTCGCCATCGCTGGAGCGTTTGTATCCAGTATAGGATTGTTCCTGTCCACCTTCTCCCCAAATCTCGACGTCATGATTCTGCTGTATGGGGGCGTTGGAGGTATTTCCGTTTCCGGTTATAAATCGGATGTACTCAAATACTCAGGTTTATTGATATTATAGCCGTAAAAATATACCGTGTGATTCAGTAAGACTCGTTAAGACGTCCATGTGACCCAGTTTGACTTATTGCGCTGATGAATGTTTAGACTGCGGTGTAGCACTGTATGTATTCATTGCGTTTAGTTAGCGGTCAAGCTTAGATCAAACGAGATATCTACGTGAAGCGCAGTTTGACCTTACTGTGTCATTAAGACAACCGTGTGTCGAAGTTTGACTTTATTGCGCTAATGGGTCTTTAAGACGACCGTGTGTTGCAGCTTGACTTTATTGCGTTATTGTGTCATTAAGACGACCGTGTGGCCCTGTTTGACCTAATTGCGTCATAGGGTCATTAAGATTACCATGTTGCGCAATTTGACATGGAGCAGTGTTTTCCTTCTTATTGCTTCATTGGGCCATTTAACTGAAAAACATCACGTTAAAATTCAATCAAAGAAATGTAATATGTTAATCAGATGAGAATTTTATTCCGCAAAGGGCGCGTTAAAACATACTACACAAAAATAGATTGGTTTTAGCATTTTCATAAATGTTCCACTATAGGATTACAACGTCATTATTTTAAGACCAAAACCAAATCTAGATTTGAATTCGCTAGCTTTCGATGTCCGTATATGTAATAAGCTTTTCATTGTTGTTATTGGATCTGACTCATTTGTACGGGTAACCTATTACATAATCAGCACCATTGGCATGTTATTTATGACGGGATGTCGGGAGGTAAGCCGTGCGGCAGCTGTTCAGTTTGAGCCTTTAGAATTTGATTTAAACCTATTTTAATAAATATAGGATTAAACAAAACGTATACAAAGTCCTTTCCCTGCGATGAGATGAATACAATAATACAATTATAGACGAGATCGGAGATTTATAATAGCGTATGTACAATGTACGTATTATATAACAATTTATCAGAATGAAATCATATTTCATATTAATCATAGGCGGTTTATGGCGTCTCCCAATGTTAACGAAAACATTTCGTTTAAAAATCAATGAGTCGATAATTAGGAGTAGAGATAGAGGTTTAACCTGTAGTTAGAAACAAGGACAAAGGTTAAACGTATAGTTAGAAACAAGGACATAGGTTAAACGTATAGTTAGAAACAAGGACATAGGTTAATAGTATAGTTAGAAACAAGGACATAGGTTAATAGTATAGTTAGAAACAAGGAAATAGCTTAATCGTATAGTTAGAAACAAGGACATAGGTCAAACGTATAGTTAGAAACAAGGACATGGGTTAAACGTATAGTTAGAAACAAGGACAAAGGTCAAACGTATAGTTAGAAACAAGGATAAAGATTAAACGTATAGTTAGAAACAAGGATATAGGTTAAACGTATAGTTAGAAACAAGGATAAAGGTTAAACGTATAGTTAGAAACAAGCACATATGTTAAACGTATAGTTAGAAACAAGGACATAGGTTAAACGTATAGTTAGAAACGAGGACATAGGTTAAACGTATGGTTAGAAACAAGGACATAGGTAAAACGTATAGTTAGAAACAATGATAAAGGTTAAACGTATAGAAAGAAACAAGGACATAGGTAAAACGTATAGTTAGAAACAAGTACATAGGTTAAACGTATAGTTAGACACAAGGATAAAGGTTAAACGTATAGTTAGAAACAAGGATAAAGGTTAAACGTATAGTTAGAAACAAGGACATGGGTTGAAAGTATAGTTAGAAACAAGGATAAAGGTTAAACGTATAGTAAGAAACAAGGACATAGGTTAAACGTATAGTTAGAAACAAGGACATAGGTTAAACGTATAGTTAGAAACAAGGATATAGGTTAAACGTATAGGTAGAAACAAGGATATAGGTTAAACGTATGGTTAGAAACAAGGACATAGGTCAAACGTATAGTTAGTAACTAGGGTATAGGTTAAACGTATAGTTAGAAACAAAGACATAGATTAAACGTATAGTTAGAAACAAGGATAACGGTTAAACGTATAGTTAGAAACAAGGACATAGGTCAAACGTATAGTTAGTAACAAGGATATAGGTTTAACGTATAGTTAGAAACAAAGACATAGGTTAAACGTATAGTTAGAAACAAGGATAACGGTTAAACGTATAGTTAGAAACAAAGACATAGGTTAAACGTATAGTTAGAAACAAGGACATAGGTCAAACGTATAGTTAGAAACAAGGATAACGGTTAAACGTATAGTTAGAAACAAGGATAACGGTTAAACGTATAATTAGAAACAAGGACATGGGTTAAACGTATAGTTAGAAATAAGGACAAAGGTTAAACGTATAGTTAGAAACAAGGATATAGGTTTAACGTATAGTTAGAAACAAGGACAAAGGTTAAACGTATAGTAAGAAACAAGGATATAAGTTAAACGTATAGTTAGAAACAAGGACATCGGTTAAACGTATAGTTAGAAACAAGGACATAGGTTAAACGTAGAGTTAGAAACGAGGACATAGGTTAAACGTAGAGTTAGAAACAAGGATAAAGGTTAAACGTTTAGTTAGAAACAAGGACATAGGTTAAACGTATAGTTAGAAACAAGGACATGGGTTAAACGTATAGTTAGAAACAAGGATATAGGTTAAACGTAAAGTTAGAAACAGGGACAAAGGTTACACGTATAGTTATAAACAAGGATAAAGGTTAAACGTATAGTTAGAAGCAACGACATAGGTTAAACGTGTAGTTAGAAACAAGGACATAGGTCAAACGTTTAGTTAGAAACAAGGACTTGGGTTAAACGTATAGTTAGAAACAAGGACATAGGTCAAACGTATAGTTAGTAACAAGGACAAAGGTTGAACGTATAGTTAGAAACAAGGACATAGGTTAATCGTATAGTTAGAAACAAGGAAATAGGTTAATCGTATAGTAAGAAACAAGGACATGGGTCAAACGTATAGTTAGAAACAAGGACATGGGTTAAACGTATAGATAGAAACAAGGATAACGTTTAAACGTATAGTTAGAAACAAGGATAACGGTTAAAAGTATAGTTAGAAACAAGGACATGGGTTAAACGTATAGTTAGAAACAAAGACATAGGTTAAACGTATAGTTAGAAACAAGGACATCGGTTAAACATATAGTTAGAAACAAAGACATAGGTTAAACGTATAGTTAGAAACAAAGACATAGGTTAAACGTATAGTTAGTAACAAGGATATAGGTTTTGAACGTACGACGACAATTTTGCCACCTTCTAAGTGTAGCTTTTCCAAATTGGCTGTATCGGCGAGAAAATACACGACCAGTCTCCAAGTTCATTACAATATTCGTTAGTAAGAATTTACCATCTACAGCAGCATTTGTCTACCAAACTGAACGCTGGTCGTATATGTGTATGGAAATTTGCGGAGAGCGCTTAAATGTTTTCCTATTTTTTTTACATATTTAATGATTGTGGTAGATTCAATTACATTGTTGTTCAATGAAAACTCCCAGATGCTTTTAATTGTTGAAAAAATCAGTACCAACATAATTGCAGTTAATTTCAATTATTTGAAAATAACCAAAGATTTTTTTTTAAAGAGTTTAATGAAATATAACAAACAGAATACGGTTAACATTTTCCTATTACACGCGCACACGTGCTTCACACTTTTGTTTAAATAGGAGTGATGTTGTTATTTATTTTGAGTCTTATGATATTACTTGTATATATATTTCTATGTTAGCAATGGTGAAGATTTTGTATGATGTTTAATGAAAATGAAAATTGATTTCGTTTTAATTATCAGTATGTGATACGTACAAATTTTCGTAACCCATTCATATTTCAATCTATTTCAGCGAAATTTATATGTTGATTTATGTTTAACCAATCACATTGCAGGGTGTGGATTCGGACTTATCTATCTTCCCGCCATTGTGATGGTTGGCTACTATTTTGATAAGAGGCGAGCCTTCGCGACGGGAATAGCGGTGTGCGGTTCCGGGATTGGCGGATTCGTGTTCGCTCCATTGTGTGTGTTCCTATTGGAAACTTATGGTTGGCAAGGAGCTATGTGGGTCATTTCCGGTATCGTCTTTAATGGCGCCATATTTGCATCATTTTATCGACCTATCGAAGAAAATAAATCAACATGTGAAAATATGAAGTGCACGCAAATAACTTCTTGTAACAGTAATAGTGAAAAAGAATGCTTTATTTTTCAAGAAAATGGAAATAAAAATATTAAACCAAACGATTTGGAACTTAATCCAATATATCGTTGTCGCTCGGTGGAAATCAAGTGCGATACGAACGGAACCGATTGTGCCGCAAGACTTGCTTTCAGCCAAGATCTATCGTTGTTAAACACCGGAACCGGAAATCCAAAACAAAGCCATGCGCACAAGACTCATTTAAGTCCTCTAATTCGCAAGGACATATTTTACAGCGGAAGTTTAGAGCATATCCCTGAAAGAGTGGCGGCTAAAAGTGACAGTGAATATGTATCTAAAATGACAGTTCAAAGCAACGAAGATATTCCAGACAGCATTAAAATCTCGTGTTGTGCGAGATTTTGTGTCGCATTCAAAGAGACGTTTGATTTTTCTTTATTAGCTAGCCCTACATTTTTATTATATGGAGTGTCGTGTTTTCTTTGTATGTTTGGTAAGTTATGTTGTCACACTCACCAATGTAAAATTTCCATATTTGGGGAATTTTGAAATTTCAGTGCTTGATGAAATCTTATTATTAACGAGCTTTGCATTTGAAAAAAATCAATCTGGGCGAAAAGTATTAAAACTATTCATTGCATAAACAAAAGTTTTCATTTATGTGCAATTGAAGAAAATGTTAAAAAAAATAACATTCATTTTTTTAATTAAAAGACGCCTGGTTTCGTTTCTCCGTTTCAGGTTTTTTCATTCCATTTAATTTTTTACCTGCCCTTGCCCAGGATCTTGACTTGTCCATCGCAGAGGGCGCCCTCTTGATCTCAATTATCGGGATTTCCAACACTGTAACGAGGATTCTGGTTGGCTGGGTTTCTGACCAACCATGGGCCGACTGTCTCCTCATTAATAATGTGGCGCTTCTGATTGGAGGACTTATCACGTGCTTTGTGCCATACTACAAGATCTACTCCATCCTGGCCATCTACTCCGTGTTTTTCGGTGCAGCTATTGGTATGTCTCGTTTTGACGATGTTGGGGCCATTATGGGGTTCTTTAAAGTGCCACAATCCCATGGTTGTCTATCGTTTTTAAATTATTAAAACAAATGGCTACTTTCGCTGCCTACGGAGGCGCGACTTAAATGTTCTTCAATTTCACCTGTCTAACATTCTGACAGAGGGCTAACATTCTGACAGAGGGCTAACATTCTGCGAAGGGCTAATATTCTGACAGAGGGCTAACATTCTGACAGAGGGCTAACTTAGGTTGATCAGAGAGACGCTTCCTAAATATTCTTTCTTCAATGAAATTGATGCATTGTCTCTGTAACAAACAGTGACAGGCGAGTTTCGGATGTCAAACTATCATGTACATGGTTGGGCGGGACATCAGTTGATGACGTCGACATATATGACGTCATAATCAAGAAACGTGAGGAACAAGGACATTTTTAGTTTGTGATTGATTATTATATTCATTAATTAAGCCATAAACTGACGTCATTCTTTTGTATTTTGTAACAGCGTCTTTTGTGTCCCTGCGGTCAATCATCATGGTGGAACTGATGGGGATCGAGAGACTGACCAACGCCTTCGGAATGGTCACTCTGTGTCAAGGACTATCTTCCTTTATTGGGTCACCTATCGCAGGTAATTAAGGAATAACCAGGTTTATTTTTAGGGTCAAAGGGTATAAATCATGGTTATCCTTTTAAATTAAATTTTAAAAGACGTACAACATCTTATTAGTCCAAAGGTAATGAATATTTATTAATTTCTGACAAAAATATAATAATAATGCATAAAAGCCAACATTGCGCAATAATTTCATCACCAAACATGCAAATACTGCGACAAACATAGCGGTAAACGTCATCACTCTTTGTGTTGCCTGTTTACAACACAAAATCAACTGTAGATAAGATTCAGAAGGATCAGGCACCACGTGTGACACTGAGAAACCAAACATTTGATACAGAAACTGTAACCAATTTTCTCTGAGATACTGTTCTCATTGATCCACCATGTACTATTGCCACCCATTTGTATATATGTATTCTCTACACTGTATTGTTTATGAGAATAAAGGAATTGTCATTGTCATTGTCATTGCTCATCTACGGCTGGTACAAGTAAGGGGTATCGGTATAGGTAGCCATGCATTTAATTCGAACAGTTTGGTAAATTGCATCCTCGATATCCAGGTGTTACGCTCACCTTCGCTCTCTGCAACCCTGGAATATGTCATAGCAAAATCGATAGCTAAGTGTGCAGCACCTTGTGGATGAGACGAGACTTCCAGTTTGTACATCCAAAGAATTTTCCGGTTGCGTAACGGTTACATTTACAGGCTTTGAAGCCGGCCGTCGCTCCTTCGTAATCTTCAACGGACAAGTACCAGCCTAGCGATTGGTTAGGGTTAGGGTTCAGAGCCTGTTAATTTTATCGTTACGCGACCGCGAGATTATTTCGATGTACATCAAAGGACCAAACTAGTCTTCTCGTCTCGTCCACAAGGTGCTGCACACTTAGCTATCGATTTTGCTATGACATATTCCAGGGGTGTAGAGAGCGAAGGTGAGCGTAACACCTGGATATCCAGGATGCGTTGTACAGGTACCAACTACAAATAGCTATGTCGGTCCTAGCTTAACAAAGGGACCAGTCGGTCTTGAAACGTTGCGACACGTTTAATACAATACGTACATTGTTGGTGTAAAAAGTAAAACTTTGATATCACATATTTCCAAACTGATGAATCTTATCGAAGATATTTACCATAGCTTTGTTACTTACTTTGAGAGATTTTCCTCATTCATCAGGTCACATGTTCTCTTTGTTTGAGAATGAGAGGCTAGTTATTAGTTTATAGGTACGTTCTGAAATTGACCAATGACATTCGGACTGGTCACTTCAGGCGGGAACGGTCACCATATATCACCTTATCAATATTTCTACGATGTTTGTAGAAATCGGAAGGTGTTTCACGGTCTAAGGGAAGGTGTTTCACGGTCTAAGGGGAGATAATCACATCTTATCGCAACACTAATTGTCACAATATTTCGTCAGTTACTTAGACAAAATATATAAATATGATTTAAGCTTACTATCTTATATTTTCTAATATAATATAAGTATGACTTGCAAATATTACGAGAATAAGAATGCGTATACAATGTACTATAATAAATACATGCATGGCTCGTAAATAGATTCAATTTTATTTACAAGAAAAAAGTCTGGCTAGCTGTACAAATAGCTAAATGCATTTTTGGGAGAAAACCTGTGATGAACCGGCGTCTAAGCAAAACACTTTCCGTATGTACTTACAGGAGCATTAGCCGATGAGACGGGAGACTATAACATCACATTTTATCTGTCTGGAGTGACGTTGGGTCTCGCTGGACTAATCTGTTTTCCACTGCGGAGGATTTCTAAATGGGAACAGGGCAAGAACTCACAGGGAGATGAAACCGTAGTCCCTAAAGTTTCCGTTTCCATGCCAGAGAAAAGCCCAATGCTGGATTAAGGATCGCGTATCGCTGAAATTATTAGCAAAGTGGTGTTTACAACAAGCCTTACTCCATACTCAAAGGGTTTCGCTCACTTATGCGCCTTCACCTCTGGAATATGCCATGACAAAGTCGAAGGTTGATGTACATCAAAAGACTGACTAGCTTTGAAGTCTGATGTCGGACCTTTGTAAATCTTCAAAGGACATTTATCAGCCAAGCGATTGGTCAGTTTATTTTACCTGGGACAAATCAAATAGCTATTACTGCATTCAATTCTGCAATAACATATTCCAGGGGTGCAGAGAGCGTACGTGATTATAACCCATGCACAGGGTCCTGAGAATTGCTACAGCCATATTTGGACGTAAACTAAGGTGTTCGTAACCCATTAAACATGTACAATTACTCTGAACACATTGGTTAAGGTCACAATGTAGCTATAACAAATTGTCATGTCCCTGTGAACCCATGGATGATATTATGTACCACAAAACACTGACAGGTGATTGCTAGTCAAAACAACGGGACATTCTTTGTATCGAAATAATTTGGGTGTTTCCGCCTTGGGATCGAAAGCTTAATCCGGTATCATTGACACTAGGGTTAAGTCATTTTCAAAATTCAAGGGTTGTGCTCTGATACCATATCTGTTCTACATCGTGAGACAGGGTGACCACTGGTATCAGGGGAGACAGGGTGACCACTGGTATCAAGGGAGACAGAGTGACCACTGGTATCAGGGGAGACAGAGTGACCACTGGTATCAGGGGAGACAGAGTGACCACTGGTATCAAGGGAGACAGGGTGACCACTGGTATCAAGTTCGCGTGTGACAGGGTGACCACTGGTATCAGGGGAACCAGGGTGACCACTGGTATCAAGGGAGACAGGGGGACCACTGGTATCAAGGACGCATGTGATAGGGTGACCACTGGTATCAAGGGAGACAGGGTGACCACTGGTATCAGGGGAGACAGAGTGACCACTGGTAACAAGGGAGACAGAGTGACCACTGGTATCAGGGGAGACAGAGTGACCACTGGTATCAAAGACGCATGTGACAGGGTGACCACTGGTATCAAGGGAGACAGGGTTACCACTGTATCAAGGACGCGTGTGACAGGGTGACCACTGGTATCAAGGGAGACAGAGTGACCACTGGTCTCAAGGGAGACAGGGTTACCACTGTATCAAGGACGCGTGTGACAGGGTGACCACTGGTATCAAGGGACGTAGGGTGACCACTGGTATCAAGGACGCATGTGATAGGGTGACCACTGGTATCAAGGGAGACAGGGTTACCACTGGTATCACGTGAGACAGGGTGACCACTGGTATCAAGGCAGACAGAGTGACCACTGGTATCAAGGGAGACAGTGACCACTGGTATCAAGGGAGACAGGGTGACCACTGGTATCACGTGAGACGGGGAACAATGGTATCACGTCTCACGTGATACCAGTGGTCACCTTGTCTCCATTGATACCAGTGTTCCCCCTGTCTCACGTGATACCTGTGTTCCCCGTCTCACGTGATACCAGTGGTTACCCTGTCTCACGTGATACCAGTGGTCACCTTGTCTCCCTTGACACCAGTGGTATCCCTGTCTCCCTTGATACCAGTGGTAACCCTGTCTCCCCTGATACCAGTGGTCACCCTGTCTCCCTTGATAGACCACTGGTTTCACGTGAGACGGGGTTACCACTGGTATCACGTGAGACAGGGGGAACACTGGTATCAATGGAGACAAGGTGACCACTGGTATCAAGGGAGACAGAGTGACCACTGGTATCAGGGGAGACAGGGTTACCACTGGTATCAAGGGAGACAGGGATACCACTGGTGTCAAGGGAGACAAGGTGACCACTGGTATCACGTGAGACAGGGCGACCACTGGTATCAAGGGAACCAGGGTGACCACGGGTATCACGTTAGACATGGTGACCACTGGGGGAGACAAGGTGACCACTGGTATCAAGGGAGATAGGGTGACCACTGGTATCACGTGAGTCATGGTGACCACTGGTATCAAGGGAACCCGGGTGACCACTGGTATCACGTTAGACATGGTGACCACTGGGGGAGACAAGGTGACCACTGGTATCAAGGAAGACAGGGGGACCACTGGTATCAAGGGAGACAGGGATACCACTGGTGTCAAGGGAGACAAGGTGACCACTGGTATCACGTGAGACGGGGAACACAGGTATCACGTGAGACAGGGGGAACACGGGGAGCACGTGAGACAGGGGGAACACTGGGAGCAAGGGAGACAAGGTGACCACTGGTATCAAGGAAGACAGGGTGACCACTGGTATCAAGGGTGACAAGTGACCACTGGTATCACGTGAGACAGGGTAACCACTGGTATCACGTGAGACAGGGTAACCACTGGTATCACGTGAGACAGGGGGAGCACTGGTATCAAGGGAGACAAGGTGACTACTGGTATCACGTGAGACAGGGTGACCACTGGTATCATGGGAACCAGGGTGACCACTGGTATCACGTGAGAGAGGGTGACCACTGGAATCACGTGAGACAGGGTGACCACTGGTATCAAGGGAACCAGGGTGACCACTGGTATCACGTTAGACATGGTGACCACTGGTTTCACGTGAGACGGGGTGACCACTGGTATCACGTGATGAGACAGAGTGACCACTTGCATCAGCGGAGACAGAGTGACCACTGCTATCAGCGGAGACAGAGTGACCACACCCTGGTTCCCTTGAGACCAGTGGTCACCCCGTCTCACGTGACACCAGTGGTCACCATGTCTAACGTGATACCAGTGGTCCCCTTGTCCCCCTTGATACCAGTGTTCACCCTGTCTCCCTTGACACCAGCGGTCACTCTGTCTCCCCTGATCCAGTGGTCACCCTGTCACACGTGATACCAGTGGTGGCCTTGTCTCCCTTGATACCGGTGGTCACCCCGTCTCACGTGACACCAGTGGTCACCATGTCTCACGTGATCCCAGTGGTCACCTTGTCTCCCCCAGTGGTCACCATGTCTCCCCTGATACCAGGGGTGACTCTGTCTCCCCTGCTACCAGTGGTCACCCTGTATCCCTTGATACCAGTGTTCACCCTGTCTCCCTTGATCCCAGTGGTCACTCTGTCTCACGTGATACTGATACCAGTGGTCACATACCAGTGGTCACCCCGTCTCACGTGAAACCAGTGGTCTATCAAGGGAGACAGGGTGGCCACTGGATCAGGGGAGACAGAGTTACCACTGGTATCAAGAGAACCAGGGTGACCACTGATATCAAGGGAGACAGAGTGACCGCTGGTATCAAGGGAGACCACTGGTATCAAGGGAACCCGGGTGACCACTGGTATCAAGGAAGACAGGGTGACCACTGGCATCAAGGGAGACAGAGTGACCACTGCTATCAGCGGAGACAGAGTGACCACACCCTGGTTCCCTTGATACCAGTGGCCACCCTGTCTCCCTTGACACCAGCGGTCACTCTGTCTCCCTTTATACCAGTGGTCACCCTAGTTCCCTTGATACCAGGGGTCACCCTGTCTCACGCGTCCTTGATACCCGTGGTCACTCTATCTCCCTTGATACCAGCGGTCACTCTGTCTCCCTCGATACCAGTGGTCACCCCGTCTCACGTGAAACCAGTGGTCTATCAAGGGAGACAGGGGGACCACTGGTATCAAGTTCGCGTGTGACAGGGTGACCACTGGCATCAAGGGAGACAGAGTGACCACTCGTATCAAGGGAGACAGGGGGACCACCGGTATCAAGGGAGACAGCGTGACCACTGGTATCAAGTGAACCAGGGTGACCACTGGTATTAAGGGAGACAGGGTGACAACAGGTATCAAGGGAGACAGGGGGAACCCTGGTATCACGTGAGACAGAGTGACCACTCGTATCAAGGGAGACAGGGAGAACACTGGTATCACGTGAGTCATGGTGACCACTGGTATCAAGAGAACCAGGGTGACCACTGGTAGCAGGGGAGACAGAGTCACCCCTGGTATCAGGGGAGCCAGGGTGACCACTGGTAGCAGGGGAGACAGAGTCACCCCTGGTATCAGGGGAGCCAGGGTGACCACTGGTTTCACGTGAGACGGGGTTACCACTGGTATCAAGAGAACCAGGGTGACCACTGGTTTCACGTGAGACGGGGAGACCACTGGTATCAAGGAAGACAGGGTGACCACTGATATCACGTGAGACAGGGTGACCCCTGGTATCAAGGGAACTATCAAGGGAGACAGGGAGAACACTGGTATCACGTGAGAAATGGGGAACCCTGGTATCACGTGAGACGGGGAACACAGGTATCACGTGAGACAGGGGGAACACTGGTATCAAGGCAGACAAGGTGACCACTAGTGACCACTGGTATCAGGGGAGACAGGTTGACCTCTGGATCAGGGGAAACAGAGTGACCACTGGTGGGTTACCACTGGTATCAAGAGAACCAGGGTGACCACTGGTTTCACGTGAGACGGGGTGACGACTGGTATCACGTGAGACGGGGAACACTGGCATCACGTGAGACAGGGGGAACACTGGAATCAAGGGAGACAAGGTGTCCACTGGTATCAAGGGATACAGGGTGACCACTGGTCTCACGTGAGACAGGGTGATCACTGGTATCAAGGGAGTCAGGGTGACCACTGGTATCAGGGGAGACAGAGTGACCACTGGTATCAGGGGAGACAGGGTGACCACTGGATCAGGGGAGACAGAGTGACCACTGGTATCAGGGGAGACAGAGTGACCACTTGTATCAGGGGAGACAGAGTGACCACTGGTATCAGCGGAGACAGAGTGACCACTGGTATCAAGGGAGACAGGGTGACCACTGGTATCAAGGGAGACAGGGTGACCACTGGTATAAAGTGGTGTAATATATAAATATATATTTTTCTATAAGTGTGGATCCTGTTTTGCGGGATCGAACACATTGATCGTTAAGACAGATTGTCAGAATTCATAAGTCTATATGGCAGTTTTTGTAAGAAACAGTATTAGTTTTTTTTTAAATATGAATCTTATATATATTTTACAACAATTATGAAACAAGTTATTTGAACTTATATTAATCACTGTTGTTGGCCCGGATGTTGTGGGAGTTCCCGGAGAAAACCCACGTGCTTGGGCAGGTGACCCCATAACTTTTCACGTCCGATCGGGGAATCGAACCCCGGTCGCCTTGGTGAAAGGCATTTCGCTATCCACTGCACCACCCGACCACCCAATTAAGATGAATAAGTCAGGATACTTGTATCGTCTCCTTTGTCATAGGAAATTAGCTTTACTGTTCAGTTGAATTCAACAGGAATACTGAAGGTGGTCAAATTAGAAAGGCTTCATTTTATTTTCATCGGCAAAATGTTAAAATGATTTCAAGCGATGTGAAAGTAATCTTTGCCTCATCAAAGACATTTACTACTATACTTATTTCTATATCGACATTAAAAAGTATTTAAGTAGCTAACCCTTGTTCGGAGTTAATTCACTTAGGAGCTGGTCCGGGGGAGGACCTGGGGGTGCGGCTAGAAGCCAGTCGTCCTGGTAGACCTTCCATTTAAGATGCAGATTAGAATAACGGGGAAAATCTATGAGGTTCTTGGCAAGGTTACCACTTCAGTCTCTGTCTCTACCCAGAGTTGTCGTTCCTTATCTCTAATCAGAGTTGTCGTTCCTTATCTCTAATCTGAGTTGTCGTTCCTTATCTCTAATCAGAGTTGTCGTTCCTTATCTCTAATCAGAGTTGTCGCCCCTTATCTCTAATCAGAGTTGTCGTTCCTAATAAATAACAAGAGTCGTCTTCCCTGTGTATGAGAATGTGAGAAAAAACATCTCTGTGAAATGTCGAAGAATTATTTTTTCCTTTAATATACATTAAACTATTTTAGAAACAAAAGTTTCTTGTGGAAACAATTGCATATGTGTCGAAGATATTTTTAACTTCAATTTTTGACTTTTATATGAGTAATAACAAATGTAATATGCTGCCAAATAAATGTGATACAGTCTAACTGTAGGAGATTTATGGCGCTCTCT